TGTGCTTGGGTCATGGAATTAATTAATATTCATGAGGCGAGCCTTCTCCCTTCCTCAATGTCATAATGTGAACTGGCTTTTCAGAAGCGCGGCGCTCAGGAGTTTCTGCAAACGTCTTGGCGTATCCAGTTTAATTTGGTACTTTTTTTACTGCTTTCAAATGGATTTTTTTTCGAATTTATTGCAGGAAGGAGATGCTTCTTTATTCGTGAAATCTGTTGCAGAGCCGTATTGCGACGGTCTAACTTTATGTCGTCGTTGAAAATGTAGATAAACAATCTCACAAGAGCAAAAGTGTTCAGTGAAAGTGGAAATGCATGAGGGTGAGTTCATGTTTTAATTGATGTTGCTTCAAATGTCAAACATGTTTTGAGAATATGTCATGTACATTACAGTAAAGTACTGTGGTTTACCCTGGTACAGTGATGGTATCAGATAACAGCAATGATATTCACCCCACAAACTTGCCACAATCATTTGTCAATTATTATCAGTTTTATATGTTTTCAGTTTCAAAATCTTTTTTATTCATTATTAATCAAATTCTAATTTGTGGGAAAAAAATGAAAAACGAACTTCATTGCAATTGGTGCCTTTTAAAAATTAATGCAGCAATGAAAATTAAGATTTCAGTTGTAATGAGTTGACATTTTTACAGTGCATATTTACATGGTATTTCAGTGGAACCATGGTAATAATACCATAGTATTTTTTAATGGAATTTTGTCTGAATTTTGTTTTTCATTCATCCAACATGATTTAGAGTTCAAAACAGAATTATTTCTTGGCTTTTTACTCTGTTGTTTGGTCAGCCAGCCCAGAATGCCTTTAGTAGAGTTATATTAAACCAGGTTGAATGTCTGCTTTGACCACATTCTGTATGTTGTTCAGTGAAAATAGGGCAGATTGCACATGTGGTGCTGAACAGACAGCTCCTCAACAAACCCTCAATCAAACCACATCTCCTACAGCTGTATTTATTCATCAAGCTATTAGTCTCTCACTACAGTTATCTATAAAAAAGAAGAGGGTGATGCAGTAAGTTGGGTCATTCCCATTTAGGAAATCTACAAATTACTCTATTATTTTGGTGAGAAACAACATCACAAGCATGAGCAAGTTTTAGAGTTCGGTTTTGTGGCTTTAGTTTATTTGTCTCACTCCTATCCTGTTTGAAATGACAGAAATCAGTTTGATATCAGAGTTTGATAAGCTAACTCTAAATCCCTCACGTCATGAAAGTCACATGCATTAACCTTAAACACAACCCTGGCCAACACGTGCTGCAGTATATTTTAAAAACCTGTGTTGTTGCATCATCAATGAAGTCAGCTCAACGTTGAGCTTGAGCTCTGATTGCAAAATGTTCTGGGTTCATATCTCACTTAGGCTGGTGTCATTTTCCTTTTTAATAAAATTGTCAACTCTGTATGTGTGGATGTATATCAGGAGTTGGGGAGCTTGTTAAAATGTATTATACACTTGAAGAACGTGACCTGAACATCCACATCCCACTGAACAGGCCTGTGTCTTGTTTTCAAGGGCAGACAAGTAGCAGTAAAAGCAGGTGTGAAGTTAAACAATGTAGTGTCAGAGGAATAAGCACAAGCTAAATGTAAAATTAGTGAGGTGATTGAATGTAATTATGATGTTCATATTATGAAAACAATGAAGACTTTGGTTGCATTTTGCAAACTGTCCAGTTTACATTTGCATATATTAAAATAGAAAACAGTTATTTTAAACTGTATTAATATTTCATAATATTTCTTTTTTTACATCATTATTGATCAAATAATTACAGGCTTGTAAACATAAGAGACTTTTTCAAAACATTAAAGGGGTCATATGATGCGATTTCAAGTTTTCCTTTCTCTTTGGAGTGTTACAAGCTGTTGGTGCATAAAGAAGATCTGTAAAGATGCAAAGACTAAAGTCTCAAATCCAAAGAGATATTCTTTATAAAAGTTAAGAGTCAACCACGCCTACCTAAAATGGCTCGTTCTAACACGCCCCCACATATCTATGTCACGATGTGGGAAGATTTGGATAATGCCTCCCAAAAAAAGAAGGCGCTTAAAAAGAAGGCGTAACTTTTATTCTAGTACTGTTGTTGGCTTGTTGTTTGTCGTTTCTCTGATCACAAATGCAGACATGATTTTTATGTTTACGCGGCGCGATGCAACGCAATGCGTAAAAAGACAGTATAAGTCATTATAATCCGTAATTATGTCCCCACTGGATGAAACAAATGCCTCGTTTATAATGGGTTTTAATGTTTTTGTTTCGTCGCTCCGGCTGGACAAGGCATCACAGTATGGTAAGTGCGTAACATTTCCGTCACACGCTTGATGAGCTTGGTAAAAATCAACGCATTTCAGAAAGGCTGGGCATAGAGGAGAAACAATAATGTACAGTATGTGGGAAATAATGTGTTTTTTGAACCTTAAACCGCATAAACACATTTCATTACACCAAATACACAAAATAATGTTCTTTTTAGCAACATCATATGACCCCTTTAAAAAATTCTTATCAACCCAAACTTTTGAATGGTAATATATATATGTAAAAAAAAATCTGCATTTTTGAGTGTACTTTTTCGACACGTCTGCTATCTGAGTTGTATTTGATTTCTTCATAGTGTGTATTTTGTTAAGAAAAGTTCACTGGAAGTCCAAGACCACTCCGAGACTTCCAAGACGTCCAAAACTTTGTAAACATGCCCCATTTTTGTTTTCTTGCAGCCTTGGTTCTGCTTATCCTGATAGAGGAGGGTTTTGCATTGGCTCAGAAAACTCAAGGTTGGTTTGAAGTGGGAAAGATTGAAACCAAAAAAGAAATTTAAATGAACATTTAATGAGTCTTTCCCATCTGTTTTGCTTTAATAACCATTACCTTTAATGTAGATCATCGTATGTGTGTGTGTCCTGTTAGCTTTGCCTCAGAATGTGGCTGTTGAGGATAAGAAACCCGCTCACTGCGGAACTTTGATCCAGACGGCAAATGGAGGATCATTCAGTTCACCAAACTACCCCAACACTTACCCGCCAAACAAGGAGTGCGTGTACATACTGGAGGGTATGAGTCCACAAGCTCACTTCCACAAGCTTCCACAGATACTTATCCTATTTGTTGCTTTGCTAAAACATACATTGCAAAAAAATATTTGGAGTCTTGCTGAATTAATACTTTTATTCAGAAAGGATGCATTAAAGAGATAGTTCACCCAAAAATGAAAATTTTATGTTTATCTGCTTACCCCCAGGGCATGTAGGTGACAGTCATATAATGGCAGTCAATGGGTCTGTGATCGGTCTGTGCAAGAAACTGAACAGTATTTATATAATTTTTTACCTCTGATCCACCGCAATGTCCAGCTGTCCTGAGCGCGTTCACAACACCCTGCGCATGACGCGTCAACGTGTTCTGGCATAGTAGACATAGATATATATAAGTAGATTCCCGCGGCCTGACTGTTTCTATGGGCCGCGGGAATCTACTTATATATATCTATGTCTACTATGCCAGAACACGTTGACGCGTCATGCGCAGGGTGTTGTGAACGCGCTCAGGACAGCTGGACATTGCGGTGGATCAGAGGTAAAAAATGATATAAATACTGTTCAGTTTCTTATGCATTCAATTTATAAATGTCATTTATAACGTTACAAAAGATTTCTGTTTCGAGTAAATGCTGTTCATCTGAACTTTCAATTCATCAAAGAATCCTGGAAAAAATGGGTAACACTTTAGTATAGGGACCAATTCTCACTATTAACTAGTTGCTTATTAGCTTGCATATTATTAACATATTGGCTGTTTATTAGTAGTTATGAAGCACATATTCTGCATTACCATATTTTACATCCCCAATCCTACCCAATACCTAAACATAACTACTACCTTACTTACTATTAATAAGCAGCAAATTAGGAGTTTGAGGCAAAAGTCATAGTTAATAGTGTGTTAATAGCGAGAATTGGAGAAGTGTGACTAAAAAATTTATCATTTAAAAATATTAAGCAGCACAATTGTCTTCAACATTGATAATAATAAGAAATGTTTCTTTGAGCGTCAAATCAGCATATTAGAATGATTTCTGAAGGATCATGTGACGCTGAAGACTGGAGTAATGATGCTGAAAATTCAGCTTTGCATCACAGGAATAAATTAAAGTTTAAAATATATTCAAATTCAAATTTTAATAATATTTCATAATATTACTGTTTTTACTGTATTTTTGATCAAATAAATGCAGCCTTGGTGAACATAAGAGACTTTTCTTTCAAAAACATGAAAAAATCGGAGACGGGGTAGCTGCAGTTCGGCGTAATGTGCGTGCTGAAAGCTGAATGCTACCACAGAAACTAACCCCTAACACTAACCCCAACCAATTAGAAAGACCTTTATCCACACCCCCTACCTTTTGGCATACCCTAATCTTTCATCATGCCCACCGCTTCAGCCTGCAGTTATCCCTACTTGAAAAATTTTACCAACCCCAAACTTTTGAACAGTAGTGTATACTTCTCAGTCACAACAGTTATTCATGTCGTAACCTCTGTTTCTTGTCTACATCAGCCCATCCACGGAAGAGAATACAACTCGTCTTCGATGACATCTACTACATCGAGCCGTCCTTTGAGTGCCGCTTTGATAACATTGAAATCCGTGATGGGCCGTTTGTTTTCTCTCCGTTGATTAATCGGTACTGCGGGGCAAAGAGTCCAGGAATTGTCACCTCCTCCGGACGCTTCATGTGGATCAGGTTTATCAGTGATGAGGAGCTGGAGGGACTGGGCTTCAGGGTGGAGTATTCATATACTGCAGGTAAATACATGTTGCAGTTCTTCATGCATTTAGATCTTAGAATCTTTTTCTCTGATGCTCTTTTTCTCAGTTCCCTTTGTATTAGTTTTATACTGTTACGGGGCGAACGAGACGAGAGACGTGCCGATCCATCTGCATGCTTTTATTCCAAGACGTGGTCATAACAGGCATGGGTCAAACAGTGTCAAACAGGTACATTTCAGGCAAGACAAAGAGTATTCCAGGGACAGACAAGGTCAACGATTGGTAAAAACATAATCCAGTAAGCAAGGCAAGGGGGTATCCAAATAAACAAGCAATAGTTCAGACGAGGAGCAAACAGTATCCAAACAAGGGCGAGACGAGAGAGGTAATCCACGGCAGGCAATAGAGTCCAGGGCAGGCAGAGATCAGACAAGATGAGGAAAACAGGCAATAATCAAGACACAGGTAATCCAGGCAAAGAACAAGATTAAACTATGAACTAGGGCAAACAAGGATGGCTCCGTAATGTGCTATCGGCTAACCGGCGATAAATGCAAACAATACTTGGCAGTTTAAGGCCATGTCCACACCTACACGGGTATTTTTATAAACTTGAGTTTTTCCTCCCGTTTTAAAAAAAATCTCCGTCCACATGAAAACGCAAACGCATGCTATGAATCACTGTCAAGAGCATGCCAAATCAACAGGTGGCGATATAATCTCAACCGTAAAGCCATGTTGGCCAATCAGATGCCTGAAAAAGTCTCCAGTAGGCGGAGATAACAGCGCAGGCGCCGACGTCACAAGCCAAAAACTCCAGTGTTTCGCTGTCAACACGACAAGACTGCAACCAGAGTTCTTGAAAATCTTCACCCTGGCAGGCGTTTTCAAAAATGTTCGGTTTCAGTGAACTGGTGCTGCGTTTGTGTGTAGACGTACGGCCTAACTGCGTAGAAAAAGCTGCGGTTTTAAAAATAACCGCGTTCATGTGGACAGGGCCTGAGAAGGATCTGAGTGAGTGTCATATAGTGTGTGTGTGATTGGTTACAGCTGTGTACAATCAGTGCAATGGATGATGGGAAATGTAGTCTGTGGTGACATGTAACAGTCTGTGTAGTGAGAGAGTCAATATGATGGACGAGTGACTTCTGGTGGCGATCGGACGGAAGTCCATGGACAGGATTCGTAACATACACATGCTTTTTTTTTATTCAAAAACCTCTCTTGCGTCCAGATCCTGACTTTCATCTCCATATTGGGGGACTCTTGAATCCCATTCCAGGTAAACAGATCAGACTGTTTTTCAGAGAGCCACAGAATAAAACTTTATATATATACCATTATTCATACTTACAGTGTCTCTTTTTGTGTCTCTATCTCACACACAGATCTATCTCCGGTTTCTGGAATATCAGTTGGAGAACTCAAATGAGTGTAAGAAGAACTTTGTTGCAATCTATGAAGGCAGTAATGCCATTGAAGATCTAAAGGCCAAGTTTTGCAGCACTGTTGCCAACGACATTACGCTTGACAACGCTGTGGGTGTGGTCAGAATGTGGGCCGACGAGACCAGCAAACTGAGCCGCTTCCGTATGCTCTTCACGGTCTTTGCTGAACGTAAGCACTAATCTTCCTTTTTACATTCTGCAGTTTTATTCAAGTAATGGTTCATCCAGAAATGGAAATTCTCTGGTGGCGATCGGATGGAAGTCCATGGACAGGATTCGTAACATACACATGCTTTTTTTTAATTCAAAAACCTCTCTTGCGTCCAGATCCTGACTTTCATCTCCATATTGGGGGACTCTTGAATCCCATTCCAGGTAAACAGAAAATACTTATGTATGTAGTATGGGGAGGGTGGTGGTTATTCCAGGGTGTTTGTCGCAGTAATATGTCTACTTATAGCTTTGAATAAAAGCTTCTGCACTGACTACTTACGTAAATAGTATTTTTAAAGAATCATACATTTTATGGTTGGAAATTGTGCAAATTTATTCAAAACGTTTGTGCTGATAGTAGTAAACTGTTAGTAGGTTGTTTTCACTTCTGAAAAAAATATATTGAAATTTTATACTGGTCTATGGCAAATTTGTTTTAGATTTCTAAACCTGATGTGGCACGTCCGGCAGAAAAATGCCTTTTCTTAAGAAAGCCGTTAAAGTACTTGAGATTTGATTTTTTTAAATGTTTAGCTTCCTATCGGAATGACACTTCATTCACCCTCTTTTTCAGTTGCTATGGTTACTGCACCCAACAAATATAAATGTAAATTCCATCTTTAGTGCATCAGTTATGTAAACTCCTGAATATTTCAGTGTCCTAGAATTTATTAGTATTACTTTTCCCTGCTGCTGTCTGCAGACTCTCGGGCCTCTTTCTCAAGTAGTTGAAATATATGCTGTAATATTTGAATGCTATGATGTTAATTTAATTTTCTTTGTCTATTCTGTTGTCTCCTCCCGTCAGACTGTCAGTTTGAAATGTCTGGATCAGATGGTATAATCAGATCTAGTCAAGTTGAGGAGGAAAATAAGGTGAAATCAGGGGAAGCACTGGATTGTATTTGGACCATACGAGCTCCACCGATGTCTAAGGTTAGTAATGCAGCCCTGATGAAACATCCGTTCCTCTCACATAGATTTGAACAGTCACTGACGTCAAGTCTTAGAATGAAGTTGTGTAAGATACATGATAATATATAGTCAGAAATTTTATTTATCATAAAATATCATATCATAAAATAAACTCCTTCAATGTGCTCAATGAACATGCACAATATGACTTGCTTTTGCATTGAATATTTAAACTGAGTACATTTAAATTATTCTTAATTATTAGTTTTAATAATTATTAATTTTAATTAATGTCTTTTTTCCCATTATTATCCATGCTGTCAGGTAGAGCTGCTTAGTTTTGGCAAGAAACATAATAATGATTATTTTGGTCAATATTGAGATCTCATTTATCTACCACAATTACTTATTGACTTTGGACAATCATGCATTTATTGACATTTTTTTTAAAGACCTTGTCTTTTTAACAGTGGATTTACTTGAACTTTAAACTTAATTCAGCTGAAAACAAATCAAATAAAAATAAGATAATTAACTAAAAGAAATAATATGCATATACAGTACGTGCATTTAAAAAATGTAACATAATTAAAAATAATAAACATAAATACAAATAAGCTGTAGATAAACTGTAATAAAAATGATATATACACATTTAAATAAGTTATAATAAATAATAAAAAAAAATGGCCAAAATAAATAAATAAATTAACATTAAATGCTGAAATTATTTTATTATGTAAGAGGAAAGTGACTGTAGAGACATCAAACTAGCACAGATATGCTCCTTCAGGGGTTTGACCTCAATGAACTGATGTTCACTAAAGTAATATTGTATAAAGCACATATATGTATACTAAGTTATTATTCTATGAAGGAATGGACATCATAGGTTATAATGGAGTAAAAAAATGCTATGAACCCTGGTTATGTAAAGCAGTAATACGTATTCATAAATTCAGTTTTATTGTCATTGTTCTCATTTAGTTGGAGAAATATTCATTTTTCTTACTCTGCTGTCTTTTGTCTTTGTTGTCCTTGTCTCTCACAGAAAAGAAGTCTAAAAGTTTCTTCCAACAGATGAGTAAAACTCATAGCACTGTGATTGGAGTGGCGTCTGGTGTGGTCTTGCTTCTTCTCATCATATCTGTATTTATACAGATGAAGCAGCCAAGAAAAAAGGTTTCTATTTATATAGAGAAATCACCATTTAGAATGAGACATTAACAGCCTCCCACAGGGGTCAGAAATACGTGTTAAAAACGTGTTCTGTTCTCTTTATCCATCAGCTACAAATATACATAAACCTTTTGTAGGTTGATTTTCCCTGAAAAAAGTAAACACTGTGGCGCTATCAAAACATTACTAGTGCATTCGTCTATTTGAGCTTCCTGACACAGCAATATTGACTCAGCCACTGGTGTGACTTTGGGCTGTTTGTTTGACCAATGGCAAGGGCAAGTTTTCGGAAAACCAATATTTTTGCAGTTTGAAAGGAATTCACTAGTTTGATAAATAATGTCAACATAATATAATAAGTAATTAAACTGACCTTTGACTTTTTATGTACATGTTCCTGGACTAAATGTTATTCCAAAAAAAACAAAACATAATTCTATAAGCCTGGGCGATTATATATAAAGTGTAATTTAACTGAAAAACACATGAAATTAAAAATGAGATAAATAAACTGTATAATGACTCATAAATATATAATGAGTCATTTTGGTATACAGTGGGTACGGAAAGTATTCAGACCCCCTTAAAATTTTCACTCTTTGTTATATTGCAGCCATTTGCTAAACGTAAAGATTATATACTTTTTCTATGTTAAAAATGTTCTGTTTTTTTTATCCATCAGCTATACATAAACCTTTTGTAGGTTGATTTCCCTGAAAAAAGTCAACACTGTGGCGCTATCAAAACATTACTAGTGCATTCGTCTATTTGAGCTTCCTGACACAGCAGTATTGACTCAGCCACTGGTGTGACTTTGGGCTGTTTGTTTGACCAAAGGCAAGGGCAAGTTTTCGGAAAACCAATATTTTTGCAGTTTGAAAGGATTTCACTAGTTTGATAAATAATGTCAACATAATATAATAAGTAATTAAACTGACCTTTGACTTTTTAAGTACATGTTCCTGGACTAATTGTAAATGATGCATCAGTAAATGTTATTCCCCCCAAAAAAAAAACATAATTCTGTAAGCCTGGGCGATTATATATAAAGTGTAATTTAACTGAAAAACACACGAAATTAAAAATTAGATAAATAAACTGTATAATGACTCATTATAAATATATAATGAGTAATTTTGGTATATAATCATGAACTCAATACTGATCAAAAATGATTATGATTCTTGCCAAAACTAAGCAGTATGTATAATAATGGAAAAAAGCCGTTAATTAAAATGAATAATTAAAGAATAATTACAATATGCCTAGTTTACATATTTAATGCACAGACCCACTCATATTGTGCATGCTCAATGAGCACTTTATTCAACATTTTTACAAGCATGTTTTTTTGCAATCTTTTATCAAAACTGAAATCTCCATTTCTGAAACTACTTTCCTTTTTAGATGACACAAATCCCTCTTAAAATCTAAATCATACATTTATACGTTTTTTTTTTTCTCATTGAATATATTGTGTCACTCAGAAATAGATCAAATTTACCAAAGTAGAATGGGTTGTGAATGTCAATTTACACTGACTTTAAGCATTAAATCTCTTTATATTTGTTTGATGCATGAACATTTTGCATGAATTAACTCAGCAGGCGACATTGCTAATGTGTATTTATCTGCTGCAGGTTTTGAGCCGTAAAGGTTTGCTCAGCGCTGCAGAGATGCAGGAGGTGCTGGAGCCTCCTCAGTACGAGCTGTTCTCCATGCAGGAAGCGGAGCTGCCGGAGGATCTGTCGGAGGAGCTGGAGAGTCTGCAGAAACTCCGCCGCTCCTCCAGCGTGTCCCGCTGCGTCCACGAGCATCACTGTGGCGCTCCGAGCAGCGCTGCCTCCATTGTCATGGCAAGCAGAGTGCATCGTCTCTCGCAGGCGTCTGATGAGATGAGTACGGTTGTTGGGGCCAGAGGCTGGGGCAGTTTCCACGGACGCAGGAGCAGCTCACACTTCACGCACGACCCGCGCGCTCACGCTTACAGTGCGCAGAGTCTGCGAGAGGCACTGGACGATGAGGAGCTGGGGCTGGAGGGACGGGTGATGGAGGAGATCGGCTACAATGATTTTATCACCCGTGGATGCAACGCCATGATGGTACGTAACCATGCCAACCCTGTCCAACAGCGCTCCCTCTCTATGGACTTCTGAGAGGAGCGGAAGTCATGTGAAAAAAATTCAATAATATAATTCATAGCTGTAAATGTTCACATTTGCCCACACCTTCTTTTTTTATTTTACTATTTTATTTCAACGTTTTTCTTATCATTCTCAGTACCTCCTTTGCCCTTCCTATACTTGATTTCAAGCCAAGTCCAGTATTTTTTATTGGTCTTATTCTCATTTCTCAAAACCATATTATATAAAATAGAGATGTAGGTCAGGACTTTTATCACACCTGCCAGTGGTGGGTGAATTGGTTAATATCTCTTACTGGCCATGAGATGGTATTTTGAATTATTTTTTTGCTTATTCAATTTTTTTTCATGATTCCTTAGCCATTAGTCCATTTTTTTTTTGTGCATATATTCATAACCAGCAGGTCATGTCTTTGTGTCACCATGAGCCAGTTTTCAACTAGAAGATTCTGTTACTAATAAATTCATTAATGCAAAGAATGTTCCACTTACACTACCATTCAAATGTTTGGGGTACAGTTTTCTATTTGAATATATTTTAAAATGTCATTTACTTCCTGTGACGCAAAGCTGAATTTTTAGCATCAAACCTGATACATCTTTCATTGTTCTTTAATTAATGTAAAGTTTAAAATAAGATTTATTTGAAATATAAATATTTTATAACATTATATATATCTTTACTGTTACTTTTGATACATTTTTTTATTTAATTTCATTTAATGATAGTGTATATATTGAGTTCTAGAGATAAAACTTAAAGAGAAAGAAACTGAAAAATCATCAGAAATTGTTCTTGGTGAAGTACAAGTTGTTAGAAGGCCTGCAGATGATTTCTTTAGTAGACAGTTTGTATGAGAGGTGGGAGGAAGGGCTGTGGATTGTGTCTGTGTTTATTCAGTTTTGCTTTCTTTTCCCCTTTTCTTTGAACCAATCTAATCTGACTTAGTTTGGAGTGTGCTGTGATGTTTGATGTTGTGGTTGTGTTTCCAGTGAGGTTTATTGTGGAGAGTCAGTCATTTCTAAAGTGTTGTTTATGGCGTAGCCTACATGGGGATTACTGAGAGGACTGTCACGTGAACACCATTCTGTGGAAATAAACATCCTGTTTCAACAAAAAACTATTTCACTATTATTCTTTCATTGGCCACCCCTTGAATCAGGGATATTACAGTAAACGAAAACCACTGCCATTGAAACAAACAAAAAAAAAAAAATTTTTTAAACTGAAACTGAAATAAAACACTGAAAAAAATAAAATAACTTATATTTATTTTATTTCAGCTAATTGCCAAAGCAACTTTTCTTATTTTCATTTATTTCAATTTGTACTAAAATAATTAAAACTATAACTGAAATAAAATTATAAAAAAAAATATATATATTAAAAAAATTAACTGTAATAAAAATGACAAAAACGCATAACAAACTTGAACTAACTTTAACTTTAACTAAACTTACGATGAAGACATTATATTAAAAAATAAAAACTAATTCAAAATATCTTTTAAAAAACTATAATGGTAGCTCAGTGATATTAAAATAACACGGCCTTGAAAGGCCATTCATTGATTTTAAAGTATACAAAAAATAATGAAAATATTTATATCACTGACATTTTTAATTAAAAAAAACTATTCTTAATACAGCAACAAGGAACTCAAGGTCATGCTATATTGTGATATTTATTTGCATGTTTATACTGAATATATTCACAATATGGCACATGCTCTAGTACTTTATTCCCTAATGTTTAATTGTATATATTTTTTTTAAATTATTATTTTAAAATATATATGCAAACTTGCAGTTTGAACATTACTGTTTCTGTCATTTTTCATTTTAGTACGAAGTTCTTCACATAAAACAACAGCCCTTAGACATTCATTCTTTTATTATTGTGATATGTAATGTAAAATGCCTATTTTTAATAATAAAAGAAACGTACAGTAAATATGTAGCCAGATAACTGAGATTTAATAGCAATTTCTTCAAAGATTTTTTTGTTTCTTTTTCCCAAATGCACATGAAAACGTCCCCCGCATTTATGGATTTATGGATTCATCACTGTGCAGCCAAAGGACATTTTTATGACCATATTATGACTGTAGACGACCTTTATGCCATGATCCAAACTGTACAGTGATTTCATGCCCTTTTCCCCTCCTCTGGTTCTCTCTAACATATTTCAGATGTTTTGTGCCATTTTTCCATGTTCTTTGATTTTGTTCATGTACTTTTATTCTGAAGTTCTCATCCATGAAACCCTCATGTTTGTGTCTTCTTGACCATTCATGGTTTGTCATGTGACACTTTATAGATTGTCATGTGGATTTTGTTTTTAAATTCAGTAAATCTGCATTTGTTTTCTTAATGCCTCACTGAGCCCTGTGTTACACATGCACATTTTTACTGTTTTTGTTATGGTAGCATATATAGGTCAGAATGACAGGATTGACACAATAAACATACCATATGAGACCCTTAATGCATAGATTTATTGTCTTTAGACTGTAAAAACGACTATGTTTATGTTAAGAAGTGATCATTAACAGATGCTTTTGTCCAGTATTTATTACAGGAACAGGCATCTGAAGTTTAATGCTTTACTCAAAGGCATTAGTTCGCGTTTACTGATTAGATTAACCTGCTGCTGTGAATTAATAAATCATAAAGTGCTACAGTTAAAATGCTATGCTTTCCTCATTTGAGCATATTGCTTGATCAAATCTAGAAATCAGGTCTATTAATAACACAGACAAATGCTGTGAAATGAGGTCAGTTTCAGTGTTAAGCCAGGGGGTTATTGAAGGAATATCCCAGCGCTGATCCCATGTAATATACTTTTAAATAGAATCTCCTTAAATAGAATCCTATTTAAATCCTTAACTATGTAAATATCATCTAAATGAGGGGCTTTGGCTCTCTGAGTACCTTTCCATTCATTTATTAGGAAAATCAGTTTGTTTGTTTTTTGACTAAATTAATTATCCAAACAAAATATTTTCCATATGGCAAAAATAAATCTGAATTTGACTTCCAGGGCTGGACTGCTGTGCTCAGTGCCACAGTTTATTATGATAGTTTATTCTACCAAAAAGTGTTTTTTTCTAAACCCCGTGTAAACCGAATCCTGGACGATTACTCAGGGTTAAGCGCAGTGTAAAAACGCATTTTCCTTGTCAGTTAGATTGACTGATGGCATTTTTATGAAGCAATCATTCACCCTTAATTATATAACATTATTAATTATGTAATATACCACATGATCCTGTTTTTTTCACGTGTCACAATATTATGGCCAATTTATACAGCAATAAACACAATAAATATAGGATAATCTACCTCAAACTAAAGTATATCTTGGTCAATTACACTAATTATTCTTTCTGTTTTGGATAATCTGATTATGTGCAACCTGAAACCAAAGGAACGTGCATGCTGTCGACTCATGTGACATATGTGACATGATCATTCTGTTTAGCACATTTTTGACTGTTCTGTACTGAAAAACTTTATGAGATTTTACTACCACGGCCCTGTGGCATACTTTGCTTTGTCATTGTTAGGTAATAGATAAACTAGCAAAATTGTTCAGTCAAGAACTAGAAGTACTGGCTCTTGGCTATACATAGACATTTATTGAACAAAACTGAAGTTGAACATCTGATATATCAAATATACAGTTTCCATATAATATCACTCTTGTAAGTAAGGTGAAAATAATCAACTAATAATTTGTCTTTTTGAGACTCCACTATTGGTTTATACATTTCAAGTAAACTTCTGTTCTGCAGACAGCAAAATATATAGCATTTCCTATCATTGGTTATCACAAATATATATAAAAATAAATAGAAATCATTTAAGTAAACATTTTTGTAAAAGAAAACTCGTATTTTATACACGCATAACATGTACATGATTTCATACTGTGATTTCATGATGGCTCATTTAATGATTGGTCAAAGAAGGCTCTGTTAGAGTAGGTCATGAGAGGCAGACGTTCCCCAAGCACGGCGTCTCTGAAATTGCGTCGTCTCCATGCGTACACAATACTGTTCAGAAAACCCTGGAGTGACACTGACAGCGCCTGTACAACAGCACATGGAAGAAAATATTCCACATATTAAAACATCTATAAAATAGCATCTATTTCTATGAATCTCAAACAATATTATAGAAACAGTTCAGTAAACAAGACGTTTACATTGAGTAACTTAGGCCTACTGTATATTTTAGACACAATATTGCTATTTAATTTGTCTGTTTCTTGTTGTGTGTCTTGGAGTAACACACAGTCATGAATAAGTCAAGAGTTTGTAATCAATTCGGTTAAGTTAATGAATCAATGAGTCGCTCATACAGTCAGTTACTTTTTTCATTCCAGAATGAATCAACGTTTTTGGACAAATCGGTTAAGTGAATGATTCAATGAGTCACTCATACAGTCAGTCACTTGTTTCATTCCTGAACGAATCCATGTTTTTTTTAAACAAATAGGTTAAGTGAACAATTCAATGAGTCACTCATAACTCATGAGTTGTTCCTGAATAAGAAAGCGTTTTTGCATGTATCAGTTGAGTAAATGATTCAATTTCTCACTCATGCAGATAATGGCTGAATTCTGAACTGCATACTAGCATACTACTCTTAACTCTTTCCACGCCAGCATTTTTGAAAAAAGTTGCCAGCCACTGCCAGCGATTTTGATGATTTTCACTAATATTTGATGGCCTCCAGTATATTTTGCTGTATGAATATTTGAATATGCAATACACCAAAATAAAGATCAGAGCCTCTACTTTTAAACAAAAAAGTTGTATTCTATCTTAAAGCATTCTTTTTTATCAACACTTGAATATAGGTAGGTTTCATAAAAAATGCATAATTTTGAGCAAAAAGGTGAGAAAATCAAATTTTTATCAAAAACTACATCTGGATAATATTCAGTCTGATTATCAAAGCATAAATCCAGTAAATCGCTTCCATCAATACCTCCAAAGCTTGCACAGACATATACCACTTCCTGGATCAACATTTTACTCCGTGACATTATGCAGTTTTCATTTATATGCTGTCTATTGCTGATGATCGCATTATTTTTCATATGCATCTGTTTACAATCAGGTCTATTAATAACACAGACAAATGCTGTGAAATGAGGTCAGTTTCAGTGTTAAGTCAGGGGGCTATTGAAGGAATATCCCAGCGCTGATCCCATGTAATATACTTTTAAATAGAATCTCCTTAAATAGAATCCTATTTAAATCCTTAACTATGTAAATATCATCTAAATGAGGGGCTTTGGCT